GGAAACTAAGCCCTCCACATCATCATTGAACACTAACATTTTATTTTGTTTCGAATTCAGTCATCGTCGCACTGAAGGTACACAACGCCTTCCACTTCACCTGCAATTCTATGTCAATTTCGTAGTCATGGCGCATTCCCTTTCGTTTTAACGAAGGCAAGGCTTCTCACGTATCATTTTTAAGGAAACTCCTGAGGCTACTATGAAATTGTCAATTGTTCCTTTGAAAAAACTACAATAAGTAAAGCATGCGGCGTTGATCAGACCCGTTTTAGTATGCGCCATGCACTCCACCTTCATTTACCTTTGAATCGTGATTTGGTCAATAATCGACGCGATTTGGTCTATCCAACGACTTGACGGCTGAATACAGGACGTTGCTTTAATCCACCAGACAAAATTGGTACAAACTAACCTAGGGATGTCGTGCGACCTAGGTCGTACGAACTAGGGATATCGTACGACCCAAGATTCGATCTCAGGACCGTGCGCGTGGCAAGCAGCGTTACTTACCATCCGCCTTTGAAAAGACTACCACCACAAAATGTGGGTGGCAATGGCGCCCAATATACGGGGCATCCTCCAGGAGTAAGTCTAGGAGGGGCAGTAGCTCCGGAAACATTTGAAGCGGCTGCCGCACTCTGGATTCTATCCACTCCGCCTAAGGCTTGGTTCCATTTTAACAAAAAAAAACACGTTACTGCATTGCCACCACAATGCCCCCATATATTGCGATAGCGCCGTGGCAAGGAAACAAGGAGCAATTCAAGTCAAGCATGACTACACGGAAAATCTTTACTAACGACAGTTCTCCCGAATGACAAACACCATATATGATCCCCAGGCGCTCATATCGTTAAGGGGGGGGGGGTTAGGTGGAGACATCCAAAACAGGACATTGGAAACCGCTGTCAGGTGCACTAGGACTAAGCACACTAGAGGAGAAGAATCGCAAGAGAACAATGGTTGCTCACGACCACCCTCGGAATCCCTCCCCCTACCTAGGGCTTGGTCTCAAGTTCTGTAAATGGCTGACTCACTTCAATTCCTAACCCCCCTTCCCCCCGCTCTCCTCCCCGATCAACTCACATGGATTTTCCAGTTAAAAGACACACCGGGGAGCAATTGCTGGGGACAGTTGCCAACCTTTTGGGGCCAAGAGAATGGGGCCGCTCTGTCTAGAGCAGAGATAAAATTTCCTATGACCGCTTGGTCAGAAGAAGGTACAACGACTGATAAGAAGAGCCAATGAAGTTGTGGCGCCATCTTGTGACATATGGCTATATTTTGTGGGATTCTGGGCCTTCCAAGGACAAAACAATCCAAAAGTGGCCTAATTTATCCTTCCAAAAGTTGGTTTCAGGATATATGATATCACTTTGCAATGTAATTTGATAGCGCTGCTCACCTGCTGGGATAAACGCGTAGGGAATTGCCCAATAGTGGGACTAATTTTCCTAATTGCCCACATAATCTCTCATCACATCCAGCAACTCTCGCTCACGGCGGGGAAACGCCAGCGCGCTAAGCCGCGTATTACGCGTACGGTAAGCGTAGCTACGCGCGTCTGGGCTACACCTGCCTCCTCCTGCTCACCGCCGCCTTCATCCGGCTAGCAGTTAAGAAGCTTCTGATGCCTCCTCACTACATTCCAAGTCTCTGCAGTATCTCTAGATAGTTACTGACAAACACCGCAGCAGTTCCTTATCCACAGCTCCTTATCCAGCCGTGATTTCATCTTATTATCACTTCAACATGAAGCTGAAGGTGGCGGTATCGATTGATATCGATTTGGATTACTAGATAACAGAAGTAGTTTGAGAAACTTAACACTATGAGTCCAAGGCTTGCGGTAACTTGCGCCAGGTCGTTTGCGCTGGTTGCTTTATTTCTAAAGCACTGGTGACCTGTCTGAGCCATGCCCATATAAAGCCCTATTTAAAACTGGCTCAGTTACATTCTCCATAGAAGTGAAAATTCGACAGAGCTCTCAAAGAAACACGACCCAAAAAGAATTTTTTTGATTAATACGTTGTTGGAAAAAAAAATAAAACAAAAAATTGTTCTTTAAAATATAAATTATACATAATGTCTAACACATACTATACTCATATTATTTACAAAGAGCGTTTATAGTGTTTAGTCAAGAATTATTATTAAAATTAATTACTATACGTACATTATATGAACAAATATATCACACCGTATGAAAAAAGACGAAAATGCGAAGCGCCTGACTGTGATCGATTCCCTTGTGGAATGCGCCGCGCACTCAACTTTCATTCAGAATCGTGGTGACATTTGGAGCGCTGTGGCCTACGGTGAATTGAGGCGGGGGAGGAGGGGCCTTTTTTTTTCACAAACCAATGTGTTCATTCCTTCATTGTCAGACCCGAAACGACTCGGGAGAAGTGAAAGGCTCGGTAGTGACCTGAGAGGGGCGCGATCCAGGACTTGAAACCTGAACTATGCACATGGTAAGCGGTCGGTTACGCTCTCCTCGCTATAGCAGCCCCACCCTTCAGTAATATAGTGCGAAGTAGGTCAGAATAGTAACCGTATAGTCCTTCGTTTGAACTGAATACTTCGTCATCGCTTGAGGACACCTGCAAAACGGAAGTCGAACTACTTCCATTCAATCATTTTAAGTTCAATATTTTTACTCCAATTTAGCCCCTAAAATTTAACAATACACTCCTCATCCGAACAGTATTGATAAAATAATCGATCTCTTCAGGGAGAGGGGAACTAGGGCCCTGGCAAGGGTTCAAAAAATAAGAAGTACTTGCAGTGAATAAGGTTCTAACCGGAACAGGTAAATACTCGGTGTGAATGTACCTTTTTTGTGATACGACATGCACTTGGCTTTCATTCAAAATGATGGAGTCATTTGAATATGCACGTAGTCTATACAAAGGCTAAGGAATGCCAGGTAATCTTTCAGCAGCGCTTTGGTTACTGAATGAGTCTGGTGCTGGTTAGCCCACCCACTCTGGGAGCATGGAGAGTTCAATCACCAATCTCAGCCATATTCACCAGCCTTATGTGGAATAGAAATCAAGATCAGTCGTGCGTTGCGAGGTTCTCGGCGGGGTGGGGGGAAGCTATTCGAGTTCTATGGAGGGGTCGTGTTCAGGGTAGGCAAAAGTCAAAAGCTTGAAAAAAAGGGTGGGGAGAGGTCAAATTTGTGGAAAATGGGGTTGCGGTTGCAGGAGTGTCGAACTTCTGAGATTCAATAAAGACCCTTCTCACCCCCACTCCCCTTTATCTGCGCCCAAAAATAGGTCCCCATATGAGCACCTCTTCTGTCAGGTTACCGCATACATATAATCGGGCTTGTAGCTGCTTAGATGAGACTATTTATGGCCATGCTCCCACGAGCGTCGTTAAGAGGTTTACCAAGAACGAACACCACAACCAAACTCCAAACCCTAAACCTTACCTCGCCAGGCTCCAAGCTGTTAAGAACCTTACCGGATGTGTTGCCTTAGCGACAATCTTACTATGGGATAAATACACCATATGTGGTGCTGAAGACAAGCGTATTATTCCTCAACAGTAACGAAGGCTCATCAATAGGCAACGCTCACAGACCTTAAGAAGCTGCAGCTATCCAGTTGGCACAAGCACGCCGCAGCAGGCTGGGTCAATCGGTCCAAACTCGGCGAGTGAGATAGTGTTTGGGATTACCGGATTGAGAGCAGGGGGGGGGGTCGCATTTTGGTTTTTGTGTGTTGGTAATTTTGAATCTCCAGGAGTTTATCTCCAGTTTTCAGAGAAGGTCGTATCTGAACTTCATAGATAGGGTCATGTTGCAGTAGAGGAAGGGAAATCATTTTGAGAGTCTTTCCGACTATTTTGGCGAAAACTCCAGCAAAAAAGCGTGGAATAGAATAGAAAAATTTCATTTTTCTTACATATTCTCTTCTCTAGCTCTCCCCCCCCCCAGACTTCTT